TGTACATTTAGTCGCACAAAAATTTTTCCGCATCAGTATTTAAAAAGGGGTGTGCGATAGACTTACCTCCACGTGGTGCACCCTGGGCAACGTATACTCATACGGCAAAAAAGTCTATCAACCGGCAGTTGACTTCGGACTTCAGACTACCATGACCCCATTGCATTTCATATTCGAATAATTCCACAGTATTCACCTCACCTTTTTCTACCTTTGTGTCTGTCTGTCTCTTTTACGTCTGTGAATCATTATTCTTCCTCCTCTCGACTTTTTACCACTTGGATGTTCATCTTCCTTTCTGTGAAGCCCGAAGTCAACTAAAGGGCTAATGATACCTATCATAACGCCTGCCATTTGAAATAAATTTAAAAAAATTAATTCTTTTCAAAACCCTCTAGGTCAAATAAAGTTATTCTAATTAATAATGTTGAAATATCTTTAGCAATAGCTTTAAAAAGAATGGGAGAAAACTGACATAAAAATTACCTGAACTTTAGTTTGGAAAAATAATTTAACGCTCTTTCAAATCTATATAAGGTGAAATGCATAAAATCGAATGTTACGTTGTCAGGAAAAATATACATAGTAATTGACATCCCTACGCTTTTTACACTTGACACCTCTATGGTGGATAGGTGGGGGGTGGGGGGCGTAAACTAAATGAACCACTAGTGATCTTGGTGATTACTCGTCAGTTTTTCGTCGCTTTAACTCAGCCTTCTAACTCCCTCACCCCGTTTTGAGTATACCACACATCTCTTTACCTATCTCCATCACCTTGAACTTTACTCAAAGTTCTAATTTTGCCCTAAGGAGGGAGGGGGGGAAGGGGAAGGGTTGAAGCCTCGGGCCCTTTCCCTCCAAGCATAGATGTTCTGATACTAGGCCCCCATCCCCTCCCCCCCCCCCTCCACCATATAGTGGGTGGTAGAACAGTCCAATAACAGTTTAGTAGGCGTTATTTATACTGCACTAGTTTCTCGTAAAGTGTACTTCTAATCGCAATAAAATCTCATTAAGCGGAAAGGAAGTTAGTAACGGTACCACGGCAAATTCTAATTACCTTAGTGAATGGAAGATTATATGTTAATCCCAGTAAAATGTGGGCTTAAGATTGAGAAAAGTGAAATTATTCGCTTATCAGTGGTTATTAGTAAAGACTTCAGTTGGATGAAAGCAAATTTATCTGCCCTAAATGTGCCAAAAGTTCTAAACATTGTTCGGTCTTCATTCTGCATAGGTAAGAGCATCAACCATTGGGAGCATATGCAATTAGAAATTTATGATTACATTCAGTATTAAATGGGCTAGGATGGATTAGTAGTTTAGACAATTATATTCAAGTAGACAATTTCCATTACAGCACTTAAATCAACAATATTTCAAACTAATCTCCAGCCACTCACTATTCTCCTCAACTTTCAAGTTTCTCTTCCTCTACCAGCCCTCCCCCCCCCCCCCCCCCCCCCCCCCCCCCAACTCCCACACTTATCCTCGATGCGAAATTTTGTTCAATTCACTACGCTTGATAGATTTCTTGGACTCTCTTTTGGAGAGTCAAATGTCATGAACCCCTAATACGAAATACAAATCACGAATAAGCATATATCAGTTGCTTTTAATCAATAAACGCATTATTAACTCAAGTATACTGATTCTGGCTTTCACGCAAAAGGGAAAATTAATGGGGGGGGGATCTGAGGTACTCCCATAGGAAGATATTAGGAAATTGAGGAAACTATTTCGAAAGTCGAAACAGACAATAATGAATAGGAGTCACTTGTTTGAATCACCAAGTTCGGTAATAATGAAATCCAAAGGTCTTGAAGCTCAATTAAATAGATATTCTTGGCTGAAAATGTATACAAGTAAACGATTCAGTTGGAGATTAGTTTACATTGTGCTCAACTCCAAATTCTAATGTAAGTAGGCTACTTCCACCAATTCTCTCGGATGGAGAAACAACATCCTAATGAGACGTGCGAGTTCTGCCCCTCCTTTAACCAGAGTGATTGACGACTATGCACCGATGGGCATCACACCCGAGACCACGGTTTAGACCATGAGTAAGTAAAGCAGTGTTTCATCGATGTTCTGTTGAATGGACTGGCGTACCGGAAGCTGAAACTTCATGAAATTATAATTTGGATTGTTTAGCTATGAGCGGCATGCTATTACATACAAACTATTTGGAAGATTTGTTCATAACCAAATGACGGTAGAGAAAAACTAAAGAGATACTAATTATTTTGTCACATTTGCTACTTTAGAATCATCCAAATATGATCCATTAAGTATCTTGACTCATTTTGATTTACTCAAATCAGGGAAAAATCAAAGAATAATTTACTCAATTCGGCCAATTTCACTACCATAAATCATATTTACATGAACTTTCAAATAAAATATTCGAAATATAACCTAAAATCAATGTTCTTTCTATGATGAACACATACTTCTACGCCTTTGATGAAGCCGAAAAACATTTTTCTGCCAAGTACACAACATTTTTTCAAGGAAATTTAATTTCTATTCGAATTTAATCACTTCTAAGTGATGTTTATGTATGTATGTTTAAGTATTTTTATTTCAAAAGATATTGAAAGCGCCTTGTTTCTTACCTTTACAGTGAACTGCGATTACCCCTGAAGCATTTTCACAGATTTCCAGAAATTGTCGAGTGATTGATTTCGATGGAACTGATCCGTCGGGGAAGATGAGATCATGATGAGAGATTCCAGCTCGAGTAAACTTTGATGAGTCATACATCTTTTGATTCAATCGTATCACGTTAGTAACATTGTGTTTCTTAAAGTAGGGGAGATAGAACTCAGGTGAGTGCATCGGGTAGCCTAAAATGGTACACATATTACTTATATACTCAACGAGTAGAGCATACTAAGATGGGAGAACTCGGTCCTACCGTTATCAATCATCGTCCTAGCATGTGGTCCACAGAAAGCGATGAACCTCTTCGGCACAATCCAACTCAGGTCTCCATTTTCAACTTTCTGCAAAAGCGCATAACAAGAGAGATTAGTCCTCTCCATTCAACAAAAATGACTACATGATTCAAACAACAAAACACCCAACCCCACCTCATTGTACTCATAGTCCTCGAGATCAAAGTTATCGAAATCAAGAAATCCCAACCGAACAGCCTGAAAAGTGAAAATATATAAATAAATAAATAAATAGAATATGTCACTCTATTTTAGCAAAAGAAAATGTTTGTTTTGAGACTGAAGAAAGCACACTTTTCGCATCACATTTAGTTGCGATGTTGTACGTCACTGTCAGACGAAAAGGAGCTTTCATAATAAGGTTACATGATTTTTAGCTTGAAGAAAAGGAAAGCATTTAACACAATTAAACATAAAAGATAATAGAACAAGAATAACGTTCGTTTAATCCTGTGACAGCGAATCAGACTTCGCCATTTAGTAATAATTAATCAGCAGACTAGAAACAGTGTGATATTCTATCATTGAAATAAAAGGTACATTTTATTGTAGTAAATGCTATTTTCTTATTTACTTTCATTTGGTACTATTGGTGCGCAAATTTCCACACAAAGATACGCGCTTGAGTAAGAGAGAAAAAAGAAAAGTTGTGAAAGAAAGAAGGAAAATGGCAATTTTAATTAATTTTTCTCGCCTTTTCCCTCCTTCACATGACTAATCAGTGATATAACTTTCTTGTCTAACCCTTTCACAGTTCAAAGGGGAAGGTAGCCAAACAGAGGGGGGGGGGAGGGATAGATAATGAAATCGATGAAGTGTAGAAAGGTTTTGCTTCACTTAAAGTCACTCTTCATCCTACCTTCACAGTGTGGATCTAATTCATTGTCATGTGTGTTTTAATGCTCTAAGTGCAAAATTCCAGGAAATGACCTCTATTTTACCGTAATTAATTGAGTAAACTGCAAGGTGGGTTGAATTAACATTTTCTTATAGCCAAGATATTAACTGTTTTAGCCTAATACTAATCTACAACTTGAAGATTTAAAGAGCCATTTCTTTTACTTTTATGGAACAATGCATTTTACAAGATCGCATAGTGTTGTCTTAACGACAAAAGGCAAGAGTCTGTAATTCTGTGAATTTAAGCATTTTAAACTGCTTCCTAATGTCGAAATTTACCAAGTAATTGCTTTAAACTAATTCAATTGGATTTAAATATACTGAAATGCAAAAAAAACGTTGATCTCCTCTGCGATTAATGATAACTCAATTGGTTCTTCAGACGCTTTGGTCAGTTGTTGATAATTTTGCAATGCTAAAACATAAAATCTTTTCTCAAAGTAGTGAGCTTTATTTATTTCAATATGGCGCCAAATCCTCTCACACTTCATCACGACCATGCCAATTTACAAACCAAACAATGATTCAACTAAAAAATAAGCCACAGGCATCATGAATATGAACATTCAAGCGATCCCAAAGGGTGATCATAAAAATTGATTTTTAAAATATGAACCTATGAAATGTGTACAATCGATTGTAATGAACCAATGAAATAATAATCAGTAGTTATCACTACTACCAACACAATTCCCCTTCTAATGAAATCCTATTAAATTATCTTAATTTCACACGATTTTATGGGGCTTATCGGCGATAAAAATATTAACACTTTACTAATAAAATAGCTAATTATTAAGTTGATATAAATAGTTTAATTGCACTTATCTGGGTGTCTTTTTATTTAGTTCAGAGTTTCTCGTAATCACGTTTAAGCACCAATTTTTCTCTATATCAAAAAAAACTGTAACAACCTATCACTTAAAACAATAATTTCATTTCTATAATTTAAACTTATTAATTAATAACTAAATACAGACACTATTATGGCCATAAAACAACGAGGAAAACACAAGATATGGTAATTAAGTAACTGGAATATTTTTTGTGGGAATTAAGGGATAAGAAACTACTATTTCGCATTTAAAATAAAAATTGTTCTATATTTGTTGTATAGTCTTATTCGGTGGGAAATTAATCGTTTTCAACCCCGCATAACACCTCTTTTAATTGCGAAACCATGCTCAGAAGAGTTTCACGACCATGAATCGACGAAGAAAATCTCGTTTTTGAGCAGCTGCGATACATCGATATCGTTTCTTTTTTCATTGAAATTTCTTTTAAACCACCTTATACAAGTAAGAGCTTGAAGGAATGAGCATACTATGTCATAACTCAGTGAAATTTTAGAAAAAAAGTAACAAGCGTTAAGGACTCTTTTGACATGATTGGTGTATTGTAGTTTTTTCTCATAGTCTGTTGAGTTAAAACACCAAGGAAATTCCCTTAAAATAGAGACAATTTCATGCAAATACACTCTGGAAGATAAATCAGCCTTCTATGCTATTTAATAGAGATTTCCATTCCAAAAACAAGTAAATAAACTCCATTTAAGTGGGTTTCTTCGTACTTAAAGGTCCTGCCAAAACCGTTGGCAAAAAAATGTATACTTTTAATTCGCACTGTGACTGCTAATCGATGAATTTTTTGCGTTCCCAAACACACAAAAGGCTGCCAAGTTAAATATTTCAGCTCCCCTAAAGGTGAAGGTGATTAAACCGTAATACATTAGAGCCTTGGCATTTAAAGCAATCTATTTCCACTTTCGAGAGGAGGCGTATCCTAGTTGAAGATGGAAAAGTGCTTTCGAAAATATCGACGCGTAACCAACACTACTAGCTACCCGTGTGAAGCGAGGGGGGGGGGGGAATACTTTATGAATAAAAGAAGTATGAAATACCTTCTGCACAGCTCGAAGACAATCCGGCAGATTGAGATCATAATATGAGGGTCCTGAGCTTGCGTCTCTGAATAAGATAAAGAAACACAAAATTACTAACTTTAAACGATTTTGAAGATAATCTTCGAAGCTATAGCTTCATAGCGAGACGTAATACACAATTTCCGAGAGTTTTATATCATACTAAATTAACAGCAATGCCTATTAAACTGTGCCCCAGTCATTACAGCCGACCATTTTCTATCTGATTAATAACTAGGCAGTAAAATGCAAAGTTATTGTGTACTAGAAAGGGGGGGAGGGGGAGAGGGGTTTGAGGCCCATAGATGGCTTATTTATGCTGGTCACAGAAATCCAAGGCTGCGTTGACAAGTACTAAATCAAAGAGAAAGCATTTTTAACCCTGCCCACATAATTTTAAACCTAAAAATTGCTACTGTGAATGTTAAAATTACCATCTAACTAGAGTCCACTTAGTATTATATAAAAGATGGAGTTTAGATTTAATTAGAAAACGTAGTCATACATCAAAGAAACGGATAACAGTACTTGCGGCTTATTTAATTGCTTTCAGACACTCGCCATAGCAGAACTTGTGTATTTGAGTTTTATCTTTCAATACTGGGGTGTGCGATAGACTTACCTCCCACAGTAAGTCATATTTGACCCATTCCACAGTACTCACCTCACCTTTCATCTACCTTTGTGTCTGTCTCTTTTACATCTTTAAAACACTTTTCTGTTCCCACCCCCCTCTCGACTTTTCTCGATTTGATATTCCTCTCCCTCCGTGAAGCCTGAAGTCAACTAAAGGGTTAATAATAACTATCATAAAGCCTGCCATTTGATATAAATATTTCAATACTTGACTGCCTGGGAAGGTGCGTTAGTAAGAGTCCTTAATCATCGCCTTTTACTTCATTTTCCAACTTCGTAGTGACTTGAATACGTTTATAGATAGTGAAACTTCTGGATATATACGCATGGGGTGTAACTTATCAATCTCTTTATACGTCCATGTTATTTCTAACTTCCACTTTGCCAAAAATTAAACAAACTTTTGTGCTCTATTTACAAAAAACTGATTTGATAAAGGAAAATTGCCTCGCATTAGGCAAAAAATCCACGACCCCAGAAAATTGGATCACTTTAAGTTTGTTTCGTTAGCTTCAGCACTTTTTTTAAACTCACACCACAACGGAGAAAAAATACACACTGAGTAATCATGTTGTCTGTTTATTATTTAACCAAAATGTAGAGGACAACTAGAAATGGAATTTTTTTAGAAAATGGGAAAATAGGTTTGTTGGCAGTTTTTGTTGAGCAAATGTTTCTAGTTCGCGCAAAAGAAGCATGGATCCTCCTCGTCAAGAAGGACCAGAATGTGATATGACCTTCAAAATGACATTGAAGTAGTTTGGCACAATTGTTGTTGTGGTGAGTATTTTGCTGAATTTCAGATCACCTGAACAATAATTTGTCCCAATTTGAAGTTTCCCAAACAAGCACTTCTTAAAACCAACTCAAAATTATTTTCAAGTGACCAAAAAATGCCTCAAGTGCCGCGTGATTAAAATTTCTTCGGATGAAGGAAGTCCCATTAGAATTGGAATTCACCACTTTCAATCTCTCCTACCTTAAGTAAATATTTGTTTTAATTTTAGAGCCTATGCATATCCTTATAAAATAACTCGAATTGACTATTAAAAGTCTTCGAAGATACTAATATGCGCTTAATTTATATATTGACCTGTTTTCAATGGATTTCAAACATGCTTATGTTATTCGATATTATAGAAGCAATAGCGTAAGAGGAAGCCATTTCGAATTCAAATATCAACTTCTTCATAATCAGCATCTATTGCCATTTCTACATCGGAGAAATATTTAAAGAAAACGATTTATCAAAGTAAAAGGATCAAAAATAAACAATAAGTAGTCTTTTGCTCATTGTACTCCACTAAAACGGCAAAATGGGCTGTGTTCTTGAATATTGGAAACCACTATATTCAAACCAAATGCCAATCACATTGTACACATTTAAATGCACCACCAAAAGCAAAAACAAACAAACAAGTAATTATACTAGATAGTCCATGTGTGTTTACAAATATTTTGCCTAAGTACTTTAATCTAGCCCCTTTCCTCCCTCCCTACCCCCTCACCCCTCCCCTCCTACCTTTCTTTAAATAACTCCTAGGGAAATGGTAAAGTGGGTAAATTCGAAGCACGTTGGAGGAAAATGCCCATCTTTTGGGTGAGATAATGAGAAGATCACATTTCGATAACCCCCCCCCCGTTTGCCCACCTTTGAGTTCAATTGGCCTCAGCGACAAATGAGCGAGCGCCAGCTGATAACAATTTAGCAGACTTTGTAGAGTCTCATTACCACTCTATCTACGTATTGTTACTCTATTTCATGGCAGGAGAATGAAGCCCATTAACAATTATCTGGTACTTTGGGGGAAGAGAAAGCAGTTAGCAAAAAAAACGAAAAAAAGAACTCTAAATGCGAGGCGTAAACATTCAAAAGTCAAATAGTAACTTTAAAATAGAGAACGTGTGAGGTTTGCATAATATTTGAAGGCAAAAGAAGCATACACAATGTTTACACTAACTTTAACGAAGTGGTTCGTACTTAAGTGAATACTCCATTTACCAAATGACTAAACCAGTATACTTTTAGTTGGAAACAATAGAAGCAACAAAATCTTAATTAGCACAAACAGTGCCTCTAGGAAAATTTATTCATTCAAAGCTAATTAATCCAAATTGACTTCACTTAACACACACCTAATCTACATCAGACGAGAATGCGGCTGTTCAAATTTCAAAGGGCAACAATAGCATCTGTGAATATAGAAATAGTGGCATATGATGAATCGACATATCCATCTCAGATTCATAAGTGCCTTAACGAGAATATTTAAGAACATATAGAGCGTGGTCATTCATAATACAAACATTGAATTACAACTCATATGATAATATGGGTCGAAAACTCAGTGAAGTACACCTGAAAGGCAAGTCCGAATGAGTGAATTTCATTTTAGGAAATAATGCCAACTTATTCATGGATAAAATTCTTAAGGGATGATTTAATTTGGTGAAAGAAAATCAAATCTTCATAATGGATGAATAATGAAACGGAGAACTCCTCTTTTCGAAACTAGTTGTCTAAGATAATCGAAATTGACTTTATTCTGGATTCAATATATATATATGCTTGAGCATGACATAGCATTAAAAAACAACCGAAATGTAAACTAATTACTGGCTAATAATGCCGAAATCAATAAAATTATTTGAGAAAACAGAGTGGCACTTTCTCAACCGATGAAGGAAAAGTGCATGAACATACCTTAGCCTCAGAATTCCCTACTTATTTTAATGATTGTCATTAATGATGTCAGAATTAACAAGGCAAAAAATACAACAGTCAATTTGCCTTCTAGAAAATTGTCAAAAATGATTTAAGTTCCCTGATAAAATATTTGAGATCAAAATGTTTCGATAGTGAAACATAGTTAACTAAAAAAATATAATGAAGAAAAGTGTATATTTCGTAGTAAAATGAGAAATCAATGTTAATTAGATGTAATAACTCCCAAGTGGCACATATATCTTAGGTAAGATTACTAATTAGATTTCTTACAAGATAACCAATGGGAGTTTGATGTGATTATTTAGCGAAAAAAGATGATAGAGTAGAAAAAAAGTGGATAAAAGTCAAAATTATGTTGATTAAAAAAATTAATTACCTAAAAGGAATAAAGGTTCTGAACTTTTCCATAAGGAGATTTTTGTAAGCTTCTTCAGCTGTTCGATTAAGGTAAATAATCTGATAGCATCCAACAAGAAAGGCAGCATTGGTGCGTTTGATCATATTAGAGGAAGTGCAATGTACAATTTTATAGTTTGAAAGAGAAGACGCCTTCAGTTTCTTAGTCAACTTTCGGCAATATCGATATAATTGAGCAAGATTAAAAGGTCCGAAGTCATCATAAAATCTACAATGAGTTAGGCACATTAGGCAAATTAACACTTACTTTTCATAAATTAGAACATCATCAATGGAGAATACATGAACACTCAAGGAGGACGATGGGATTCCGTTACTTATAGCAAAATAAAATCTATCTATTTGAAAGATAAAAACATTGAATTAAGAAGAACATTACTACGAAATGATAAAATGGCAAAGGAAAAATGTATGCAGCATAAAAAAAGTACTTGATAAAAAACAATCAGAAATATATTACGGTTAAAAGTAGCGATATCCTACTAAATTAAATACAGAATTAAATAATAATTTAATCAATTATAAATCTAAATATACATTTCATAAATAGTCGTGTAATCTGCAAAGACATAAATCAAATATTTTACCTTTTATTATGCATGTTAGGCCCTCGAAAATGCCCAGCCCATGATCGTTTACCCTGTCTTTACTTTTCATCCCATTCGAGAAAAAGTGAAATATGGGTAAAAGGGTTAAATGCTACTAGACAACGTTGCTATTAGATACCAAGGTTATTTTGTTAAAATAGATATGTTTTAGTTTTTCCATCAACTTCCTTAAATTGTACAATATTCGGCGACAAAGAAAATGTATGAAAATATTTGATTTACTTTATCACATTTTTAATAAATTCGATGTCATAGAACAAATAATTTACTAAGAGAATTTAAATTATCCCTAATAAAACTGATTATTTTAAATAAAAAATACTTTTCTGCATCGAATTTGATTTATAAACGGTATAATTTAACAAAGAATTTTTTTCTCGCATATGATTCATAGACAGTATGTCAAACTTTTATTATGGTCCAAATTTATTTCAATCTTGATCGAAATAGAGCCGTTTTGAGGATTTCTTTTCATTTTAGAACAACAGGCATAAATAGTCATTTGGATGACTTTTGATTTATTGGGTAAAAGAAAGCGATAATTTTATCATGTTAAGTTTTATATTATTTAAATTGCTGATTAATCGCTTGTATCCTGGTGCGCCTTAACCTTTAGTTTAGTTAATAGTTCGGCGAAATATCGCCATAAATTCATTGTTATTACTTTCTATGAAGCTTATGAACTGAAATTTTTTAATGATTTTCGATATACTTGCTTTTTTCATCAATCATTCACCCAATGCAACCTGTCTTGTACATATTAACAGTGCTTATATATTAAGTTACCATTCATAACAAAAATCCTGCAGAAATGTAGCTGAGACTATTCTTAGCTTACATTTGTTGAGGAAATATATAGTAATTATTTACTTCTATTTAATATATAAATATAAAAGACTGTTTTAGGTGTTTCTATTAGTTGTGATGACTTAATAGAATAATCATATAAAATAGATAAAGGAACAGCATGAAGCATAATTTCACTATCTTTAGTCAAATAAAATTTCAATAAACATGAATGGCTTTTTGCCATACACATACTTTTGGAAATGAATTTTCAATTGGCAGTGGAGTCTACATTTTGGATTGGAGTTCAATGACGGAAAATAGTTTTAAGTAAATAACTCAAAATTTCATCAATTTTGTTATTTCAAAATTTGCTAACTTTAGGAAATAAATATTTAGTCACATTTTTATGGTCACGCAAAGAAAGTTGGAATGATCGAAATCTAACCTTCCTATCGACCACCTAAAATTTAGTATGCACAATAACCTCAATGTAGTATACGAGATTTATCACCAAAATATGAATTAGACAGCTAAATAGTAGAATAATTAGTGCTTTTATATTACAACTATAAGAGTGTGTTTTTATATAATTTAAACAGGCCTATTTAAACTGCTGAATACTCAGTGATCGAATTCAAAATATTTCAGCTAAAACTTCGTTTATGAAGTTTACTAAATTGTGCCATTTGTATTTATTTCTAAATATATCTTTGACTCTTGCATCATGCGCCACTAAATATTTCAAGTCGATATGCGATAAATAATTCTAAAATTTTATCGAAATATTTTACCCACGTTAGAAGCAAAATTAAATTTTCTCTACTAAATATTCAAATTTGCTCCAAAAGAATAAAAAGGCTTTATTTTTTGGCGACTTCAAAAATGTAGTTCGATATTTGTAAATCAGAACACTATCAAAAATGTATTTTCTAAAAAAGCGTTCTTTATTTCCACTTTATAGATCACTCGGATTAAAATACAATAAATGAAAACATTTTATTTAGACAATTTAAATTATTAAATAGTATATTGTTTTAAATTGCACTCTATCCACCAGACCTATTGAGTTACGGGGTTTATCTTGCACGATATGGATACGGTAGTTTTTATTTTCTCAGTTTTTGAATTTCGTAGACCGGAATTCCGACTCGCTTTCACAAAAAAAAAGTTACTCACCAATTTAGGAAGTCAAAATTCGCTGCTAGTCAAGCTGCGAAATTAACATCTGTGAACCCAGAGCGAGCAGGGTATGTGCCTATACTTATGATTTGACATTAACAGTTATATCGAAAAAGATTGTGAAGATGAAGTCATCACGCAAGATATTATTCGCCAGAATGTGGATTTAGGTTCGGCTTCTAAGGTAATTTTTAGCATCTTCATCCATCTTTTAGCAATTCGACCTCAAATCTAAATCTGGACCCTACAGCCTTGATTACTCCCTAAATGGTAGATTTCTTGCTCTTTGTGGCAAACGAGGCCATGTTGCTGCATTTGACTGGCTTTCAAAAAAGCTCCTTTTTGAAACAAATGTCAATGAGGAATGCCGTGATATTAAGTACCTTAAGTTTTCAAGAGGTTACATATTTTTCTAGATTTCTTCATCAGGAAACAATGGTTGCCGTTGCTCAGAAGAACTATACCTACATATACGACAATCAAGGCATTGAAATGCATTGTCTTAAACGTCTTGCTGGAATCCGAAGACTTGAGTTCTTGCCCTATCATTTCTTACTGGTTGCAATGGCAGATAATGGCTTTCTATACTATTTGGACGCTTCTGTAGGTGAAATCGTTGCTTCTTATCCCACTCATCGCGGTTCCTTGAATGTGACCTGTCAAAATCCTTCTAATGCGTCTATTCTGACTGGCCATACTACTGGTTGCGTGTCTGTTTGGATACCAACAGAGAAAAAACCCGTTATCAAAATGTTGTGTCATAATTCTGGTGTTAAGTCTATTGCTGTTAATCGCACTGGACAGTAAGTAGTATTTTTAGTTATTTAACACTATCTTGTCTCTCCTTATTATGATTTCTTTTTTCTACGTAGATATTTGGCAACGTGTGGGCTGGATAGATATCTAAAGATTTGGGATTTAAGATCAACTCAGGAGTGTCTTTCTAATATTGTCCTTCCTACACCAGCTATTACAATGGGGTACAGTCAAACCGGAATCTTGGCATTGGGATCATCGACAACTGTTCAGGTTTGTTAGAAATCTAAACTTTATTTCATGCATCATCATAAGCCATGGTCTTTTATTAGAAAATGTTTTAACAATCATCTTTATGTGTTGCTTGTGCTTCCTCGCTTTAATCGCAATTATAACAAACTTATATGAAACTGTCTTCTAAAACAGTCCATCCTCTGATTGATAAAATCTTTTCAACCTGTCCAATATGGCTGTTTACAAAATTAGCTTTTGTGGTATAAGATGCTTGTATTATTTTTCCTTGGTCAGCTTCATGAATTTACTTCAGTTTAAGCTCGTGTCAAACGTAAAAGTTGAGCTGAAAGGTTTTGTTTCACTTTTATTCGATAGATGTTAAATTTGGAAGCTTCGATTCCGATAAATTGTTAATTTCAATGAATCCCTGTTCTGTAGGTCTTGGCCTGACTTATCTAGGGGCTATTGGTTTAACATTGAGTTAACTCTAAAATAATTGAGCTGTAGGTTCCACCGAATGATAACTATCCGAAAACGAATCTATTTCCTGTTTTCTTTCATATATTTCATGAACTGTGCATTTTATGTGGCCGGGTTGTTGTTTGCATGTCATAGGTAAATAACTTAGGAACTATATTCCTCTTTGATTTTGGATATGGAGTCACTCTTGATCACACGTATTTGTTTCGGTGACGAAATGGTCAAATATATATTTGAATTAGGACACGTTTAATTATCAATTCTAATCGATCCGTATCTATTGATTTCGGTAGACAACCTCATTAATAATTCCGTTCAACGAAAGAGGGCAGAATATGAGCTTCTCATAAGAGCATCTCCTGAATACTTACCCTGTACCCCAGTGTTTCAAGTGCTTAACTTACTGGATTTAGGGAGTTTGTAATAGTTTATGTAGATATTATTCTTCTTAACCACACTGTTACAGTCTATTTGTTTCTTCAGATTCTCAAAGATCCGTTCTCATTGGGTGAATCGACAGTCGAGGACCTCTCGGAAATTGCACCAAGCGTACACCGACGTGTTTTCCGCAAGGCCTACCTCACACACAACTTACTTAGACCAGTCCACTGCGTCTCTTTCGCTCCATTTGAGGATGTATTGGGGGTTGGAACTGCAGGTGGCTTCTCCTCCCTCCTTTGTCCTGGCGCTGGCGAGCCAAACTTCGATGCTCTTGAAGACAATCCCTTTGCCACCGTGCGTTACCGTCAGGAGCGCGAAGTCAGACGTCTCTTAGATAAGGTATGTATTACTTTGGTTTTTGTGTTGTGTCTGCCATATTAGGAGTTATCGTCATACATCAAATGGCTGGAATAGGCGGTGATTGATTTATTTTAAGTGTCTGTGGATCGTACCTTGTAATCATAATATGCTTCAATGGATCGTCTTGGCTATATGACTAATTGTTGGTCGTTCTCTTTTCTGCATCCGATTGTGTTATCTACAATCCCATAATCCAAGTGGGTTGAAGGAAAATTCAAGTTATTGTTGCCACATCGAAAATCTCTTATAGTTTAAGTCAAATTATGTACAATATGATGTATATCGTACTAATTTAAATTAGCTGTTTTAGGGTTATTTCCTATTTCAATAATAATGGGAATAAAATAAAATAATAACTTTGTCAATTGGAAATATTTATTCATAAGCGTATTTGCAGTTTTATTCCGCTTAATATCTCTCTGAGTTTGCTATTGGTTCTGTCACCAGTTAACTTTTGAGTTACACTTCCCTTTCTAAATCTAGTTTCAATTCGAAACGCGTTTATATTTTCTTATTACAATTTTGCGATTATAAGATTTGTGCCGGCAAATTCGGATGTCTCATCATTCTATATATCGAGAAATAATGGCTTAACTGCTATAATTTGAAACGCCATGATTCTTGATTAGATTTGATTGAAGGCAATATTTTCGTTCATTTTTTAGATCCCTTACACAATGATCTCTGTAGACTCGATGTTGAATAAGGTTCGAAGGGAGGATATCGTGGATGAATGGGAAAGGAAAAAGGCAGCTCTGGTAAATTTATTTATTTGATCGTAATTCCACTTTTATTACCATTCACTTTGCTCATTTGTGTGCTTAGATGGGGGAGATTCCAGCAGTTCCAATGCCTAAGGTTAATCGCAACAAGAAAAAGGGTCGTTCAAAGGCAGGAAAGATTGAGAAGAGGAAACAAGTTACCAGGTTCAATCGAAAGATGTTTGAAGTCTCCAATTTGATGAGAGCAAAAATTGAAAAAGCGAATAAGTTGAAGCCAATCGAGAAGATGCAAGAGGAGGGTAAAGGGCATCTACCCAGTGACGCGCTGGTTGTCAGACAGAGATCGAAGAAATTAACAAAGTCTGCCCTCGATGTTCTCATCCCTAGAAAGCCTCCGAACCCCCTCTAAATGTTTGTAATTTATATCGGATTTTGTGTAAATAAATTGACGATTCACATTTATTAACACCTGTTGGGGCTTATATATATTACTAGTTTTGCCCAGTCTGAAGTGGTGTTAGTATTCGTAGAATTCGAAATGTCCCAAAATAAGATGTGGAGTTTAGTTAGCTTTCCCTGATTTCGTCTTGTCTACTTGCGCGCATTTATGACGCAAAAGCTGTAAAGTCATTGGTCCAAATTTATTATGGATCTTATTAAGGTATTACTTGTCTTTATGAGATCCGTGCCACGGACATGGTGAATGACTTTACTTTTAATTTGGTTGTTAGGACTAAATTTAGCCTCATGGAATGGATTGCTTGTAACCTCAAAGTCGATGGGTCAGCTTTGTAATTTATTGAATTTAAAAATGGGTCACCTAGTGTGATCTTATTTAACCTTAAAGGCAGCGATCATTATGTTCGAAATTTGTGCAATCAAAGAAACGTGCACGTACCAAATTGGAAACAAACTATTGTCACGAAACGAGTTCAACAAAAAGCAATCATTAACATTATTTCTATGGAAACAATAGATAAAATTCTAACTTGTTTGTACTTTCGACATCTTCCTATGAATTTGCAAAAACACCATTATTTCCCAGAGTTGCATGTGAATTTGTACTTAAGATGAAATACGTCTGAAATATATTCGGTTTTGACAGGTAACTAAATAGATTGGAAAATTTTTTAAAGCGTCCTACAAAGAGATTTCCACTACCAAAATCATCATCGCTTGACATTCTTTTCATTGCCACTAAAAGCATGATGCGTGAATTATAACCATCTTGGGTATTTCCAGTGCAAAATATTTCGTTCAACATAAAACTGAGTTCAAAGGTCTGTGCATTATTTACTACCATCTAACACCAAGACTTCAAATTGTGTGTTTTAGAAAATCTAGTGTTTTGCCCATAAAAAAATTTGTGCAAATGTTTCTCAGGTATGTCATAGTTATATAATGAACTAGAAGTAAATGAATTATCGCTGTGTAAGAAAGTTCTTTAGCAATTTTAATTATAATTTGTATTTTTATGCCATTTTAGGTGCTTTTTTGTCCAAAGACTTGACATTATTCGCCAAAGAGTTTGTTTAAGTTAACCAAATTAAGTATCCCATTAATAACTCTCGGATCAATAAGGCTGTTTTGTGCTCTGTCTCTTTCGGTGCGATAAAAGATGTTATCGAGAAGTCGGGTTGAAGATGAAGAATCCGATAGAGAGCAGAGTGGTTATTCGAGTAATTATTTTTATTTATTTTCTTTTTTAATGTAAATTCCACGTCATTTTGATCGATAATTTTTAATCATATTATTTTCAGTAATAATATGTGAAATATATCCCGCTTTATTTCTTTATAGACGCTACAATAAAAGTTGGTCTAAATCACCAAGCTGTAATTCCGCCAATGGAATGTAAGAGTTCCAGGGATTCTCAGACTGAAGTTCTCTACTGGAAACCCCTTCCAATTTCTGAGAATGAGAAAATCGACACTTATGTTAATCACGCTTCGGAAACTTTTGGGTTTGATTCATAGCTTTATTTCTACTTTAAGTTTATTCCGATTTTATAAAAAAAGCTTTTTTTGTTTAAAGTTACTCCGAGGAGCAGGCTCTTGCATTATTGACATGGAAAAAGTTTGACTTCAATTCCGCTACTGAGGATCTAGAAAATTTCACGCCAATACGTCTAGAGTGGAGTTCAAATGAGCGCCGTATCTTCTTTGCTGCCATGGAATTCTATTGCAAAAATTTTCACAAGGTCAAGGCTTTGTTTCCACACCGTCCAGTCACTGAACTTGTTCTCTTTTACTATCTCAACAAACGCAATCAGCGGACTCTCTATGAGTTAACCCTTTTTGCTCCACAGTTTTCCGAATTGCATAATAGTGGATTTATTAATTGTTCTGCGCGTATACAAGACATTGAAGATGTAATATCCCTCTCTTCCCTTATTCAACCTAAAGAAAAATCGGTAAGTATACAAACTGCAAGGATTTTCCATTTAAAAGAATTTAATTTTTCTTTCGTTCGTTTTCTTAAGGCTCTCTTTGACCCTAACGACCCAGTTGAATGTGCAATAGCCAAATACTTGAATGCAGTAAAAGAAGGAGGTGAGATCAGCACCACCACAACTTCCAGTGAAAGTGGTGAAAGTGTGGCCAAAAACAGTGGAAATTCTCAGCCAGATGTCCCCACATCACGCCTTCGGTCTCGTACGAATCGGCCTTCTGCTACCGGTGATAATAACGATGATGATGAGCTCGGACCCCCGTCTCCCAGTAATTCAGACAGCGATGCTGTCCGCATTGATTATTTAGGCAGACTTGTGTATAAAAATGGCACTCCGGCTGGAACCACTGTTCGCACTCTTACTGCCAAGAAACAGGCTCGTGTAGAGGCTGATTTGGCAGCGATGGCAAAAGCAGCAAGGAAGGAGGTAAAACCATCGACTTTAGAAGGTGGAGAAGATTCGAACAAACGGGGAGGAAAACGGGGTTTCAATCCTCGAACGGGAATCGCTGAAACTCCAGCTCAAATTTCTGCTAATAAAGGAAGTCGTAAAAAGCTCCAACTTCTTCCTCATTCAGATCTCCTTTCCCCCAGCAAGAAAAAACGTATCGCAGTCTGCGTTCTAACCCCAGCAGATGCCACTCCCATGTTTGAATCTATTAATGATGCCCATTCTCACCAACAAGGTGAATTGGCAGCTAGTATAGAGTCGGCTGAGTCGACTCAAGATGACTTGGCTACACTAGTTTCAATGTCTTCTCCTCTTGAAGCAGAGATAGATTTGTTTGGTGGAGACGATGCCCCTACTGAATCGGTTCGTTTTTTGTTTTGGTGACAATAGCTATCGCTTATCAATAGAGAGCTAAACCTCAAATCGGTTTCTATAGTATCTCAATGACTTAGAAGCGGAAGTGACTGAAAATATGGAAAATATGCGCCCTCCTACAATCCCGATGGTAAATAGGGTCTTTTTATGTAGCTCCGAATATCATATTGTTATTCCATTTTTATTTTTTTTCGTTTCTCTACAGAATCCAAAATGGACTGATGATGAGCTGGCGCTGGTAATAGAAATAATTTCCGAAGTGGGTGAAGACTATGAGGTGATAGCTGAAAGAATGATTAATAAAACGCCGAGTATGGTGGCTTGGTTGTTTAAAACAAAGGGACATCATCTGCGGCTCTATGAAATTGCTGCCATGGCGGAAGATACGAAGCAGCAACAAGCAGTGTCAGCGGTGGAGGAGATGCAACTTGAACTTGATGAAGATGAGGAGGAGATTGCTATAATGGCTTAAGGTGGTTATTCGCACTCTTCCCTAACTTCCTCAATGTTCCATTCTTATTACTGAATTTTATCACTCACTCAAGATTATTTTTGTACATATGTATGTATGTGATGGACAAAATCGTGGACTTGTACAGAATATTTAATATATGAATGTTTCTCTCTCCTTGACATATTTTGAATTCGTCTTTAAATCTTCGTTGGGATATCGGTCTAACGGAAGTTGAGAGGTTCTGTTGGTGCGCAATGATCGTTATACGCACTTGCAATGATGCATATGGCCTTGGAGCCTATTGCGCGCATTCAATGTTTGGAATAACCTGATTGGTTGAGCTGGTGAACACATTTTTCTCGGCTCTGGGTTTTAGGCCAATTTCGTGTCGTGCCAAATAAACTAGTGGAGAAATATGATAAGCTGGCTCGATTGAGCATAATTTCGTAAACATCCTAAGGTTCTTTGCAATAAGATAAGCTGAGGAGAGGCCGCGTTCAATGGAATGTAATATATCATGCAGTTATGCATTAATTTTATTTAAGTATGTCTCTGAGAAAAGATGGAATTAGTTCAATCGAAACCACCATTAAAACATATTGCTTAACTTGAGTCAATTCTTTATGTGCTAAGATCTGTTTCGATTAAATATACAGATGATACGTGATATTTTACTTAAGGTTTTGATCGTTAGACTTGGTTAACTCGTATTAATAATCAGTAGCCTTGAGTACGCCCAGCATTAGCAACCATCCATCTCAATGTTCGATATTCATAATGATGAAATTTACGCGTGTATTCAGCGGCTTGAAGTATCTAGCAAAATAGACTGCTGATAACACATCACTCTGAGGGAGCCTACAAGCACATAAGGAGGGTGGATAAAAATAGAATTATGCTAGCTAAAGGCGAAGCCAATTTCGAAAGGACCAAAATGCAGCTTAGTACTCGGCAGAAGTTAGTTTTATTTGATTATGCAGCTTTCAATCAAAATGCGTCAGTGTTTTACAGAAAAAAGGATTTATTTGTTTCTCAGATAATGGAAGTATTTGATCGGAAGTAACATGCTTGTACACGTTATGTCTTTATTTCCAATCACACTTAAATTAGTTGATGCGATTAGAATAGAAATTGAATGCGCTATAAGCACTCTATGTCCCCAAAAGTTTTTTTTTATTTCATAGATTAATAAAATTTGTATTGGAGCCAGTTTCTAATCACTATTTAAAATTTTTCCACGTTTGGTCTTCGGTGATAAGTAAGGTAAAGCATATGTATTGATGAAAAAGAATAAATATACAGTCAATCACATGACAAGACTCTAATATTCACCACGTGCATATGAAAAGTAGTTTTGCATTTCAGCCAATCAGGCAATTTCAAGATGTAAGTGAATTGGAGAATAAATTTTAAATTATCGCTAATTTAAATGTATTGCCATAATAACGTTCACGTCTCTTGGTATAATCTGGTTAAGGATATTCAGCGTGAAATGAAAAGTACCTAGTCCAAAGTATCTCTGAAAATAACTTTAACTATTACTTTATAATGATAATGATACTTAGTGAAGTTGTAAAATCCGGTTAAGCAATTAGATGAACAGTCTCGGTAGGCTACCTAATTTGTTCGTGACATTTAAGTAAGACAACTAGTGCTAAATGGAGAATTATTGCATCACGTGACCATTTGTATAACGATATTTGTGACATATGATCTTATAAGGTATTCTAACTAATAAGGAATTCACTAATTTTAGAGATTTCTATTCAAACATAAAGAAGTCATAAAAAATAATGTTTGAATATTCCTGAAACAATGGGTGAATAAATAAGCCATTCTTTCGTTGTGTTACAAAACTACAACTAATTTTATATAAAAAAATTTATTGAAATTTGCTTCAATAATACTCCATTAAAAGCTATTTAAACCAGAATATGTTTATAAATATGATATTTGTTTTCTGAAACATCATGAAATGTTAGAGTAAATAATGTAAATTTGTACATAAATATAAGAAAGAAATTAATTTTCATATTATTTAATAGGTGGTGTGATTGCTTTTCTCAACAAAATATGATAAAACTTTCCAACCTTCAAAGTTGGTTTATTCTAGTCGATTCAACGTTTATTTTGGTGATCTTATTATTTAAGGTGTGATAATGTCCCAGTTTGATTGTATAAGCTCTGATGCAGAAGATAATATTGAAAATGTGCATTATATTTCAGACAAAGATCTTGGCTTTGATGCTGATAATTACATAAATAATTTTGAAAATGAAACTGCAGAAGCTAGTGAAAATGTAAACGAGATAGTAGATGAAAGCCTCACTGATAATGCTGAAGATAACTCGAATGGGCTTGTTGTTCTTCACCCGGATCATGTAATTATGGGATTAACTTATTATTCTAAAATGCGTTAGCCCTTGATGAAAAGATTTCAAGATGCCTTGCAAAAAATGTTAAAAGAACACCTATCGAAAGCAGAGCTGGAGCTTAAGGAAAAGGTACAATGGACACAATAATTAATTAACTATCAGTCTGAGGACTTAAAACGTTCGAAAACTATTCATCTTGAATTAGGGTCTGAATTGTATAATGCTCAGCAGGAACTATCAAAGTAATTATTTCCTACTTGTTGTTACTTATTTGAAAGATTTCAGGGACAGCTGCAGAAGAAGCGTGAGGAGCATATCGAATGTCAAGCTAAACGTGAAAAAATGGACGAGTTGTTGGTTACCTTGCGCCAACAGTTCAAGAAGACCCAAGAGGAGTATGATATTGAGTGCAAAAAAATGACTAAGATGAGGGAGGAAGTTGATAACCTTGCTCTTCGTCTATTTTATTTAAATAATGCTAAATTAGAGGTTAAGAGTGATATAAGCATTATGAAAAGAGCTGCAGAGAAAGTAACCACAGAGTTGACAAAGGTAAGATGTTCATTATAGTTTCGCAAACGTATTTCAAAAGGCTGAGGAAGTAAAACTTCATCAAGATATGATTGCTCATCGAATGCAACGGACTGTGGATCAACTAATGGAGGATGTTGAACTCCTGAAAGAGCAGGTTATAGCTGCAGAGGAGGAATTACGTTCAGGTGAAGTTGTTTTGAAGAATATGGAAAGTCAAGTCATGGGTATTAAAGCTGATCGCAAAAGGCTCATGTCTCATTGGACTACTAGTTTGATTGGACTTCAACGCAGAAATGAAGCCTATGCGGAGCTAATGCAGGATTTCCAGTTAGTTTCATGCTTTCAATTGTTGTAATTGTATTATAGTACCAAACTAACTTTTACGAATGCAGGCAAAAAACACAAAAGTCGATTTTCTGAGTTCGGTCCACCTTGATATCTTGAATTCATAAACCCCATAAAAACGAATTTCTTAGTAAGATATTTTTCGATACTTTTCCGCAAATTTGTGAAAGTGCATTGCACTTATCCATACATAGGAACCAGTTTGACCAAGTGTAGCATTGAAAGTATAAAATGAATGTTGCTGAAATCGTATAAAGTAGAAACTTGTTGGTTTAAATTTGCTTCATAAAGTACCATTAACATGCCAGAAGTGTCTAAATAAAAATATTTTTTAGACTTTTATATGACTTGTCAATCGTCGACTTTCTTATGATCAGTAACTCTTGCCTCATACGGATTGAACCATTTTGCTATTTTAACGAGTATAAACTATATTATATCGATTTAGTACGTAGTTGGATGAAGTATTTAAAATTTACCCTAAATAGTAACCTAGAGAGTGCCACTTGTAAAAGAAAATCCACTAAATAATGGAGTTACATTTTTTCTTAGTAATCAATATTACATCCATTGTGAATGATTACTGTATTGCTTACCTGAGACCCGTCGATTCTTTACCTCATTTTTTTAAGGAAAAAGCAGGATGAATTGACACTAGTGAACGCAGAGACAGAGGGGATAAAGAAGGATATTACAAAAGAGCAGGAGAAGCATGAACGCCTGACCCTTCAGCTTCATCGCACACAGGGTGATATTGTAGCCTCTCAAAGGGAACTGGAACGACTCAAAACTCGTCATGATGAAATAAGAGCCGAGTACGCTCAAACACAGCGCATTATTGAGGAAACTGAACGAAATCTTGAAAACGCAAATACGGTAGGCTCACTTTATTGAATTTAACGGTTTCTGTTTTATTGATTTTAGAATTTATTCAATATTTAGGTAGAGTTTTATAGTGATATTTGACGTCGGATGTCGAGCCAACTGGAGATTTACGGTTCTGGTATTATGGTTCTCATATTTAAGAGGTTTGGCTAGCTCTATCTCTGCTTTTTTTAAGATGAAATAATCCTAAGTTTAAACAGGAGAATTGTCCTGTAGTGATCAGTGTTTAGTAGAAACTACTTTAATATGGGTGGGGTGTGTGATAGACTTACCTCCACGTGGTGCACCCTGGTCAACGTATACTCATACGGCAAAAAAAGTCTATTATTCGGCAGTTGACTTCCGACTTCAAAACACCATCACCTCACTGTATGTCATATTCGACTACTTCCACAGTACTCACCTCATCTTTTTCACTCTACCTTTGTGTCTCTCTCTTTTACATCTTTGAAATACTCTTCTGTTCCCCTCCCCCTCTCGACTTTTTTTCACATTGATGTTCCTTCTTCTCTGTGAAGCCTGAAGTCAATTAAAGGGCTTATGATAACTATCAAAATGCCT